AGAAGAAATGAATATTTAACATCCCGTGTTGATAAATAAACTACGAAAAGATTTAAATGTAAAAAATAATTAGGTGAGCAAATAAAGTTCTAAATTATGCATTTTCTTCAGAGGCCCCCCTAACATTGGAGGCCCAAGGCCATTGCCTTAGTGGCTTTACCCCAGGGCCGGCTCTAAATAGAATTTATCCCCTTTATCCAAGACAAACGAAGTAGGTAGAAAAGCTAACATTATTCTAGTCATGGCAATGGGCTGAGTCGAGCCGGCTCGGCCCTTAAACCCACGAGCTCGGCTCGTGGCTCGTGAGAAACGAGCCACGAGTCGAGCTAGCTCGTGGCTCGTTTGCTCTTGGGCGAGCTCGGCTCGGCCACAAGCTTTTTGAATTTTTTTTCACCTTTTTTAAAAAAAATTTCTTTAATTTGTCACGAGCCCACGAACCGCTCGCGAGCTCAAAGATTGCGGCTCGACTCAGGCTCGTCAAATGACCAGCCCTAGCGTTCAAGCCGACAAGCTGCTCGACCCGTTTGCCATCTCTACACTATTCAAATGAGCATAGATTTGAACAAGCATATAGAGAGAGAATCTACTTCTCTCTTTCTTTTTCTGAACCCACTTTTTTAGATCTTTAAAAAATTCCAAATGCAACGTTTAATCCATTTTATCTAAGTGCTCGTTTGGCTATCACCATTCCAAATTATAATGGGAGGAATAGTAATTTTCTAGATAATGTGTAATTAGAAAAGAAGAAAAGTTTTTGAGCTTATGTATAATATTATTTTATTAAAGAATGTGTGACTGATAAGAAGATAAAAGAAAAATAAATTATGAAAAATAAATTATAATCTAATGAGAAATAATAGAAACCAAATGGGGGCTTACTTCACAAGAAAGAAATAATGAGAACGTTTTTTTAAACGTATATTAAGATATTTTTCTCGTGCCAGAACAACTTCTAGATGAAGCTGATTTAAGTAACTTTCTCGTAAAACTCTTCTATAAAAGCACCCCAAACGGTCCCTAATTCCATTATTTCAAAGAAAAATCAGTAAGACGCAATATTTTACCAATCTCAGTCAATCAACATACTGCCATAGACGATAATGGAAATTAAAATAATTTTGGAAGGTGAAATAATGAAAATAATAAATACGATATGCATATGAATAAATTGATCAAATCAAAAGGTCGAGTTAGAAGCATTCTATGCAAGATTTTCTTACAAATCGATCTAAAAACAGAAGATCACGAACACATATTCCAATCTTCCACAGTACACCGATATATACATACACCGATATACATATATGTATATAGTAACTCATACAGAAATGACAGAAATATTGGGCACTTGTTATGGGGAAAAGGCCAACAATATCAGCACAAACATCATCAAAACTGGGACAAGGAGGAGAACTGGCGGCGGCGGCGGAAGTGGTGGCAGAAGCAGTGGCAACACCAAGAGTGATAAAGTTAACAAAACCATTATAATCACCCCTCTTAAACTATAATACCTTAACATTAAATCCTTCAATGACCTTTGATTTTCACTACTTTTCACCTGAAATGCCAGACTTTGCTCAATCCTGCACATCTTCATCTTCATCCATTACAGTCAAACAAATCTCGAATTTCCGATTATACTGTGGTGTAGTGTTGAGTTTTTGTCCTTTGTTCTGCTCTGTAACCCAGAATTTATGTTATAAATGAAGAGAGATTATTGTGTTACGAGGGAGAAGGTGGGACGGGTCTTTGTCAATTCGACACGTCATCTGACAAAGCACAAACGTATTGTCAAAGTTTGGGTTAGATTCATGGTACCACTGTGAATTTTTTGTAATATTTAGAGGTGGGGAAATTTACAGTTGGAGTCCCCAACTAATTAAAAATGTAACAACTCAGTCTCCAACCTAATATATTGGTAGCCTGAGTCTCCGAGAGTCCAACTTTTCATTTTTATAATGTTTGGGACTGAGTGGACAGTTATGTTTAGTTAGAAATTCAAAATTTTGAAGATACAATCAAACCGAAATAAATAAATGCAGACAGGGAAAAGGAAAATATTATCGAAGACAATGATTGATGGATTTTGTGCTCTTTTATTTTTCTGTTTTCTTTAAATTTTCTCTTGTCTTCGCTGTTTTCTAATAAGAATTTAATTTTTTAATCAATGGTAAGGGTAAATTTGTCCGAATAGATTACTAAAAAAAATTAAAGGGTGTGAGTGCAGCCGCTAAGATAATAGGTTGAGGACCTACTTGCTACATTACCAATAGGTTGGGGACCTTAAAAAATGGAATACCTTCTCTGGCCAGCAATCTGCCTATGATTGGGTTTAGATGTCCCTACTTGGTTTTATTTTGATTTTTTATCCCCATGTTGGTGGCTAAATTCATTGGCAACTTGGATAAAACAAGGAAAAAGAAAAAGTTTTGTTAGTTTATGTTTTACTTTTACTCTGTGATTATCCTTTGGGATTAATAGCGTTACACCATGGATCCTACGAAACCCCACGCAGGTAACAAAGTGGTAGCAAAGGCCATATAGGTTTTCAGTAGTGAGGCACGTGATAGTTCTATATTTTTTTTTGTCGCGTTCTGAATATTCGCTCTACTCCATCATCCATCTGGTCTTCGCACAACTTGACCTAGCAGCCAACCAAGCGAACACGTTGGAGGCATTGATAATTGTGAAACAATCAGTAACTTACAGGTGAAGGTCATTATTGCATTCGAATCTGATTTTTGACACTGTTTAGGTTGG